CGTCCCGTGTACTCATCGATCTTTTCTGTAAATTTGGCGCTATTTGGATCCAAACTGACGGAGCCTTTCATTAACATACATACAACATTCGCCAAATTATAGTAAGATGCACTAAAGATTTAATAATAATAATAATAATAATATTAATGTGAAATCTTTGACTGCTCTTACAGGAGCATCTCTCCTACTTCCACTTTGTGGGCCGCGTGATTGGCATGGCCGTGTTCCACGCGCACTACATCGACGGCGGCTTCACGCTGCCCTTCTACAAGCAGCTACTCAACAAACCCATCACGCTAGACGACATCGAGGAGGTGGATCCGGATCTGTACAGGAGCATGATCTGGATTCTGTACGTATATATACATATACCTCTATATTTATATATACAGTGTAGCCCCGTTATAATGCGATCGTTGTGGTCCATAAAATGTCATCGCGAAAAAAGCGGGGTCGCACTAAATCGGGGTTATATATACGTGGCTATGTAAGAGCAAAAAAGGGGGGTCTAATTACTCGTCGCGTTATATCCGAATTCACGTAAATTGGGGCGCGTAAAATCGGGGTTCCACTGTATATATATATAGTTTATACCTTGAACCTTGATCTGTATAGAAGTTATGATCTGGATTCTGATTCTGTGTATATGAAAATATGTTTCTTGACCTATACAAAATCACGTTCTGGATTCTGTGACTATGTAAGATATACCTTGACCCATACCGAACCATGATCTGGATTTTGTACATAGTGTGGCTGTGTTAGCCCAGTTGCTGTGCCCTAAGTGAGGACCTTCAGTGTTCCTACTGTAACTACATTCACCATAATTTCAATCCACTTATCACGTATAGTATAAGTAAATACTTCTAGATACTTGCAGTCACGCAAAACTTCCAGATTACGTGCTACCGTATTGATTGGAGGGAAGATACACTCACTGTAGCCGCCTTGTCGAGTTTCTGTTTCCTCGTAATCGTTTCGCGTCTCACCATGATTCACCGTGTTGCAGCGAGAACGACATATCAGATGTGATGGACCACACTTTCACTGTGATGCAGGACTCGTTCGGCGAGCTGCAAGTCTACGAGCTGAAACCAGAGGGCAGCAGCGTTGCCGTCACCGAAGAAAACAAGAAGGAATATGTCAGGTAAGCTTTCAAAGCAGACGGACCGTTGTGTTGGCATTCGTGCTGCAAGCTGTATCCTTCTGACGCATTCCTGAATTGTGTCACAGGGGTAGAAATAAGGAGAGAAAAAGAGATGGTCTACAGGACCATCTAGTTTGAAATTTAGATGGTCCTCCTAAATTTCAAATTGTTCTCTAAAAGTAATGCAGCATGCAAGCGTAAGAAAGAGATTTTACATGGTGATAAAATGGTTTAATTATTCACCTACAATGAATGCATCAAATGATACAGTAATAGTTTATTCACTTTAATAGTATATTGGAACGGGGAAACTTCAAAGAAAATTACCGTAAAATGGGACCAAAATGTTCAATGTTCCGTCGGACCATTGACTTTGAAAATCTGATGGTCCTCCTGATTATTTGATGGCTCCGGACCATCAGACCATCGCTTATTTCGACCCCTGGTATCATGGCAAATGTGGTCATCCCACTGGGTATCATATATTTGGATTAAGTTGTTAATATGTTTGATAGGATGTACAGGTGAAATAATAACTGAAATTACAATTTTACATATTTAATTTCTCCCGCAGACTGTACGTGAACTGGAGATACATGCGAGGAATTGAGGCGCAGTTCCTGGCCTTGCAGAAAGGTTACAACGAGCTTATACCACAGCACTTCCTAAAGTCCTTTGATGAGAAAGAACTGGAGGTGAGATAATGCTGATATACACAGATTGATAAATTCATCAGATTTTTTGTTCGAGGTTCTCTTCTTGATAAGTAGCCGATTGAACTGTGGCCACTGGTGTATGGCATGCCTGTCGCTCTTTTGGGGAGATTTAAGGCCATTTTCGAGTTTTTCGTTAGTTTAATTCTAATCGTTCTAATCCGTTTTGCCATGCCAGCTCGTGATCAGTGGGCTGGGAAAGATCGACCTTGACGACTGGAAGGTCAACACGCGTCTAAAGCACTGCACGCCGGACTCTGGCATCGTACAGTGGTTTTGGAAGATGGTGGAGTCATACAGCGATGAGCAGAAAGCCAGGCTACTGCAATTTGTCACGGGCAGCTCCCGGGTTCCCATTCAGGGATTCAAGGCTCTGCAAGGTTCTTATATTAGTGCACGTTATACAGCTACGCGTTACGGCTCCCTTGCGTACGCATGCTTAATTTGTAGAATTTAATTGTAGCATGCTTCATTTTGGTGGCATGCATTATTGGATTGACAGAAATTTTCTGAATATAATAGTGCACACTGGATTTTTGGATATTTTTGTGTGAAAACGCGCGTGTGTGTAGCACCGGAAAGTGTAGTATTGAACATTTAGGGGTAAGTGTGTGCTAGCTGTGTGTTAGAAGGAAAGTGGTACGGCGAGATTCTGATCTATAGCCGAGTTGTCAGTAGCTGGTGGAATGACTGAGAGGTGTGTGTGTGTGTTTCTGATTAGTTCTGCTTGCTGTTCCCTAGGTTCAACAGGAGCGGCAGGTCCTCGACTGTTCACCATTCACCAGATTGACGCGAGCAGCAACAACTTGCCGAAGGCTCACACATGGTAAGCAGACCAGTGATGTCCAGTAAGAGTGTTTGATATAATCTGGCACGTGTCTCCCAAACTATCTACGTGGGATAATGATCGGTATGATGATGGTGAGATTTGGGTCTGCGCAGTGTCGAAACATTAAATATGTTACAATACTGATTGTTTTATTAAAGAATGTAATTGGCAAAAATGTAACAATAATAGCTTCGCTGAGTATATTCTGTGTATTTGCTATAATGATTAGTTCATACAATCTTATTTGCTTATGACACAATGCATCTAAAAAAACTACTAGGGATTTAATTGGTGTATTAAGACGGTTACGTAATTGTTCTATCTGTTTTTACTAACGTTGATATACCTGTCAGTTTACAGTCACAATGTTATCATGGCACACTCTCCATTTCAGCTTCAACAGAATCGACATACCTCCATATGAGACATACGACAAACTGTACGAGAAGATCACCTGCGCTGTCGAAGAGACGTGCGGGTTCACTGTTGAGTAGTGGCGACACCTGGCGATGACACTGCAAAAACACGAAGACGGTATAACGAAATGGCTTTTGGAGGCATAGCGGCTCCCAAGTTGTTGACCATGACAATTCGTGTTCGTCTCACGAGTTTAGCAAGCTAAGGGAATTGCTACACCAATCTAAAGAGGCAATGCCTTGGTGTGGACGGCCTGTTACGTCTACCAGCACACTTACTGTACCATTTGTAAATATAAGTTTGCAGATATAGTAAGCTGTGATATCGGCAATGGCAGTCACAGGCGTGTATGTAGCCAGTGGTTGTGGGTACACAATAAATATGAAGTTTGGTGGCAGCACTATGTAGTTGTGAATAAAATAGTTCGTGGGAACCGTAAAAACGTCAACCGATATGATGTGAGCTTATAGGGTGAGCAACGTGACCGTTGTAAAGTCGTTAACTGTGCATGCTAGTAGGGCGTTTTGACAGCTCTAACGTTGTTAGCTGGCAGAAATACTGTGTCATGTAATGTGTATGTGTTTGTAAATGCATACATTGTTTGATGAATTGTTTTCTATTGTCATGGCTATTATGTTTATTATGGCCTCACTTACAGCATTTCTGCAATATTTGTAAATACTATAACGGTCTTTGATCGTGGCTGTTTCAGCATTGTAAATAACTCATAACTTTATGTGCTAAGTGAGATTTGGCATACATACATATATGTGTGCGTTTGCGTGGGCGTGTGCGTGTGTGTGTTACATTTCAACGTCTCTAGCTTAGACTGGGCATGTACCATTCACTGAATGCTATTCGGTGTTAGTTTGCAGGGTCAGTGTTCATTTTTAAAAACTGATATTCAATTTGATTTGGCTACAGATTGTTGTTGCAGTGGACTGTTACAGCTGTATGATCTGATTTGCCAGGTTAACTAGCATTAGGTGCTACTTATATAGTGTAGATACATAATGAACAAGTGCATAATATAATCATTCATTATTTATATTCATTCACGATGCGAATTAATTCTTGCAATTAGAATTAAAATGCTTTTGATGATTTTCAATTGACATTTGTAATATATAGTTAATGTAAGAGCACTGTCCAGTATCTTTCGATTTGAATGTAATGCGAGAATTACACATTAATATTCCGTTGTTCATCTATTGATTGAGCAAGCTTTCAGTCTTGGCTAGAAATTAGATTAGCAAATACTTGCAGATATGTAAAATTACAGTTTGTTAGTTAAAACAGCATGATGATAGAGATAAAACTGTGAGCAAGTTAAATAACATTTGAGCTATTTCTATAGTAAATCTCGCGTTGCTCTGCCAATATAACTATAACGATTGCAATGGACGATCTGGTGCATGAATACTTGGATCTGTTGGTCGGATTTTGTGCGGCATTAAAGAGGAATGAAGTAACCTGCTAACTGTTGTCATAGGTCATCATCATCATATCACAGCTATTAACACGTATACGCTGTATTTCACTGCTCATGCGCATGCTTACTAGAACAAGCAAACAAACTGGGGAAAGGAATGAAGAGAGATAGGGAAAAACAATCTGTGAGGGTCTAGCTACAATGCTCAGATCAGGGGTGGGTCAGCTCGTTCAGCGGTGGTATGAATATGTGCATATAATTGTGCTGAGCTGAGTTGTCGTGAACAGTGAAATCTATCTCTTATACGTCATAATTTTATAGTAAATAGGAAGTGGTCTGTAGATATGGAATTTGAAATGAATACAGCCTTGCGACGTCATAAATAACTTCAGTAATATAAGGTTTGTGTATGTGCTTATACGCATGTCAACGAGCAGATTTGAATCAGAGTGAGTACGATGTTGCTGTTATCTTGTTCTCTGATGCATATCATTTTGGTCAATTAAATTATTGTTTCAATTTAATTATGATAAGTATAAGCATTTAGTTCTCATGGTTGTCAGAGACTGATCCTTGAACTGATAGTCTGTTCCCACCCTTGGCGTTTGTATGTTGTATTTTGTACATAGAACGTTAGCATTTGTTATTAAATAAATGTCACAGAATGAATTAACTGTTAAATGTTTGCTTTTATCTTCGTCTGCATATGTGTCTCATCAGTTGGTCACAATCTATCAACTAAGCATCTCTATAGTTAGGCGTAAATATATTTGAGGTCTTGTTCACTACGGTACGTATACCATTATAGTTCTTATTTACCACCGATACCACATGTTTATATCTTTTATCATATCTTATATCTTTAAATTCTCTGTTAATTTGTGAATAGTGGCGTGCATGCGGTGAGATTGTGTGTGTGATCGCATTCACCTATATTTAGGCTGATAGGGTTTATGTCCCCAGGGTACTATTGGAGGGTACCCTGAGTACGGTTCGATATATGGGAAAGTACCTCGGTGTAATATACGATATGTCGCTGCGTACCCTGAATTGTCCCACCGTATACGTACCCTAACTTTCAGCCAACTGATGTCGTAATACATATTACATACACTCTGTCAAGTTACCACATCACATAGAAGAAACCTCAAAACATCGCAATCCAATAAAAATGTTTGACTATATTTTTCTTTTTCCTTTTTTTTAAACAAAGAGCTAGCTTTGCGAAAACGAAGGGCTGAAAGTCAGGTTAGGGTGGGACAATGCAGGGTACGCAGCGACATCGTATAGTACCCCGAGGTACTTTCCGATATATCGAACCGTACCCAGGGTACCCTCCGATAGTATACCCTGGGGGGCATAGACCCTATCAGCTATATTTAGAGTATTCAGCCAAGATGCACGTCCGTGCAAGGTAAACAGCCACGGTGCTGTGCGGGTTACATTTTCGTAACGGATGATATTGATATATCGATCAAATATCGAAAAAAAAATCGCTTAAAAAAAATCGCTCAAATATTGATATTTTTTTATTACTATCTCGTGTGCTGACTAAGACGTGGGTGTTAGAGCTGTGCGTCGGATCCGATAATCCGAATCCGATCCGATCCGAATCCGATCGGATTTACAATTTTTAAAGAATCGGATTCGGATTCGGATTCAAAATTGTCGTTGGATTCGGATTCGGAGTCGGATTTTCAAAAATGCTGTCGGATTCGGATTCGGATTCGGATCGCCGGGATCGGACCGTAGAATCCGACCTCCATCCTGTCAGGAGCAGAGCCTGAGCCGGCTACTTCATAAAACGAGCTTCAAGGCCACGCGTGACTCGGCGGCTTTTCATGTACACGATTGATCGATCGCGTGCTATATCCGGCCTGCGACGCGTAGCACGCGCGGCAGTGCGGCACACATCACATACACAGTTACACACACACTGGCTACGCGAAGTTTCACCGAAGTTCGGATGAATATAGTACAGATGTTTCGTAAATTCGTAGTAATTTCGTACCACCATGTCACTTACTGCCACTTAGGTAAGTTAGGACAAAGTGGAACTGAGGTGACGATTTGATAAGAAAATTATCGTTCCAGATTCCCGATCATCCCGTTCTCTAACTTTTCTTACGTCTATAGTCCCCCTTCACCCCTTGATCTCAACAACCCAAAGTTTCGTGTTGAAACAAATTATAACACGAATTTTATACGATGCTGTCACACTATTTGCAATTTCTATGTTCCGGATTCGGGTCGGATTTCGGATCGGATTTCGGATCGGATTTAGCGATACACATCGGATTCGGATTCGGATTCAAAAATTGCCGTCGGATTCGGATTCGGATCGGATTCAAAATAGCCATCGGACCGGATTCGGATTCGGATTTTTTTAAATGCTGTCGGATCGGATTTTTGGTTCATGTCGGATCCGACGCACAGCTCTAGTGGGTGTAAGCATAACCCGACCAGGCTGTGTGACTAACGTCAATACACCTAATCTATAATTCTACCATAATCTATAATTCTACAATAATTCTAATCTATAATTCTACAATAATTCTACAATAATTCTAATCTATAATTCTACAGTAATTCTAACCCTAGCAATACCGTTTCCTGGAGCTAGTGTAAGCATAGCTCAGCTGATCTGTAATTCATCACATCAGTTTATTTCACTTGACATTGAAAAAAATCGTGCGTTACGATCATATAGAAATAATATAGATGACTATTTATTATAACTATTATAGGTTATCTATAATTATTATTATTTCTATGGTTATGATAGTTTTTGTTTCCTTCAACCTGTTTTTCTCTGTCTTAATAAAATAAAGTTTTTATGACAAACTTCACGATATATTGTTGTAGCTAGCTACTTGTCATTAGCTCGCCTTGACATCGTCAAGATGAGCTATTGCCGTGCGGTATCGTATGACCGTCCGTCTGTCCGTCCGTCCGTCCGTCCGTCCGTCCATCAAAATTTGGCTACGGTCAACGATAACTCAAGAACCGTTTGACCCACGGCACATGTTTCAAATTGCAAATAGTTGTTACTTCTATGGGAGAGGTTTGAACGTCCTATTTTGGAGCACGCCAGTCGACCTACATTCGAGCCACGTCCACTTTTTGGCAAAAATGGAAATGGCCATAAGTCAGTTCAGGTTCGACAGATTTTGCTCATTTTTGGTATGTGAATGAATGAGGACTGGCCCCAAAACATATCACACAGGTTTTTATTTTTATTTTAAATTATGCAAATTAGGTAGATTTTGGCAATTTTACTATGCATTTCAGTGTCTGCCTACGGTCAACGATAACTCAAGAACCGTTTGACCCACATGTTTCAAATTGCATGCAGTTGTTACTCCTATGGGAGAGGTTTGAACGTCCTATTTTGGAGCACCCAGTCGACCTACTTTAGAGCCACGTACGTCCACTTTTTGGCAAAAATGGAAATGGCCATAAGTCAATTCAGGTTCAACGGATTTTGTTCATTTCTAGTATGTGAATGAATATAAGGACTGGCTCCAAAACATATCACACGGGTTTTGATATTTTTTTTAAATGATGCAAATTAGGTAGATTTTGGCAATTTCACTATGCATTTCAGTGTCTGTCTACGGTCAACTATAACTCAAGAACCGTTTGACCCACATGTTTCAAATTGAATACAGTTGTTACTCCTATGGGAGAGATTTGAACTTCCTAGTTTGGAGCACGCCAGTCGACCTACTTTTGAGCCACGCCCACTTTTGGCAGAAATTAAAATGGTCATCTAAATTCATTCGATTTTGTTAAATTTTAGTATGTGAATGTGTAAGGCTAGCCCCAAAACAGTTGTTACTCCTATGGGAGAGATGAAACTATTTATTATAACTATTATAGGTTATCTATAATTATTATTATTTCTATGGTTATGATAGTTTTTGTTTCCTTCAACCTGTTTTTCTCTGTCTTTTTTTGTAGATCGTTTTTGCTTTCATTTCTTTTCTATTCATTTCTATGCCGATCTTTCTCTTTTGCTATTTTTACCGCCGAAGTACGTACGTAGTAATCATTTGTGGTAGATGAAGCTGTAGATGTAGATGGGGCAGAGTCTCAGAGAGATAACCAGAGATGGGCATACCCTGTGTAACACGCCAGTATAAACATAACTCAGAGTGAAAGATAACACACATAGTTTATTCGTCCACTTCTTATTCCGCCATCTTCCAACTACCTCGATCACACCACGTGACCTTCACACGTACAAGGCGGGAACACATAGAACAAGACTACGCGGTGTGATACACCCTGCTCAATGCAAGAGATGATCTTTCGACAGCGAGATTGAATACCGCCCCCTGCCGAATCTCTTTACTCGTATGACGTCATTCGTTGTCAATCCAGCATGGCAGTCATGAGCTGCGGGATTAGATCTGGTGTTCTCCGGGTAAGTGTTTACTAGGGCAGTAACTGACTTGTGTCTTGTATAGTAAAAATGCTTATACAGAATGTAGAAAGATAATATGATCATGTGAAATAATGTCATAGGTTCTGTGTTGTATCTCCCTAATCTGAGTACTAAATCTGTTCAATTCCTTGCACTTGCGTTTCATTGCCTTTAGCTTGCCCTTGGCACAATATTGTTATATTGATCATTCAAAACTATTTAAAATTGCACAAAAGTTTTACTGAATAAAATACGAATTACAAAGCTCATCACATCCATTCTTATTTGCCAGACATTTGGGAAACATGACATAACTTGTGGGCAACGTACTGTGAGTCTGTTTGCACAGTGCAGGACATCAAACTCGTAATAATTTACTTGATCAGCGATAGCTCTAGTAACTATAGTCTATAGGCCTATAGCCTGCGTACGGTTGCCGCTGCCAAGCAGCAGCAACCGTATGCGGGCTATAGTTACTAGAGCTAGATCAGCGAATGCTTTGAACTCTGTGCGAGTTTGCGTGGAGACCTATGTTTACTCGTAGGTTCCTCAATTTTTAGCTCACCTGACGTAGTCGGATGCAGCTTGTAGAATCGCATGAGCGTCCGTCTGTCCGTCAACAGTTGGGCACAAATCTTAACCGCTCGACGTACGGTCACGATATTCAGGACGTCGGGGGGATCGTGAAAAGGACTCGGGATGACCAATGTGGGGGTCAAAGGTCAAGATGTGTCAACGAAGGGGGACTATTTCCCCCTTAACTTAAGGTATAGGAGGAAATACGGAATTGCGACACAAATCTGAACGGCTCGACCTATGCTCTTAATATTCGGTGTATTGTACGTGTGATGGGCAGAAAACCAATCACCAGTACGAAATTGGATGTCACAGGTCAAAGGGCAGTGAGGGAAAGGTCAGATATCAGACATTTTCTGAGGACATGGCCTAATGGACAGAGTGAAAAACTTTTTTGTTTCAGC